CCCGTGTGGGGCGGCACCTCAGAGCCCGCGGCCAAGCTGGGGACAAGGCAAGCGGCACGATGGCACGGGCAGGGGCAGTAGCGTCACACAAGGGTCCCATGCTTCCTGTCCCTTCCCTGCTGCATTTACATCCCCAAATTCGTCCCTCGTGCCCAGAGGCAGCCTTGATGGTGAGCAGCATGCCCAGGCACACCATGCGTGACCTAGGCACAGCACTGAGCCCTCCAGTCCCCGTCACGGTCGCCCACCTCCCCATTCACCACCTGAGACAGACCCCAGTGCTGCAGCCAGCCCGGGGCTCACCTGCTTGCGGGTGACGTCCGGCTCCCAGAGCGTGCACAGCACCACCTGCGACTGCTCCACCCTTTGGCTGTTGGTCATCTGGCTCTGCAGCCGGCTGCGAGCAGCCTCCTCGCTCAGCCCATCCCTCGCCATGATGCGCTTCACAGCCTGGCAGGACCAGAGGGGACACGCAGGCGCTCGAAGGGGAAGCTGAGAACCAGCCCCAGCAGCAAGCGATGGGCCAAAGGGCATCACCCACCTCCTCCTCTGGGATGATGGCCGTCCACACCTCATGGACCATGTCTTGCCAGCCAGCCTCCAGCAGCACTGCAGCGTCCAGCACGCACACGGCCTTTCCTATGGAACGAGGCCATTCCTCATTACCTGGCAATCGCAAGGCAGCACGACTGCTCCTCAGGGTCCAACCTAGCCAGTCCACTTACGCTTGTAGAGTCAACGCCTTCCTGCAAATTGGCAGCACAGACGCTTTACTGCTGAGCCAAAGAACTTCGTGTGGAAAAGAGAGCAGCAGGCAGAGGCTGTGTTTGCTTAAAGGGCACACCTTGAATGGCAGGTCTCCCGGGCACGGCAAGCCAATGCCTTCAGCCAAATGCCTATCGAGCTACCAACAGCATTTCCCAAGAGCTGGAAAAATTCTGCTCCCAGAAGGAATACACACCACATTCACTGCTGGAGCACTACACCAAAAATGAACGTGAAGTCACATGGGAAGAGAAAGCAACCTCCACCCTCCTCCAGAGTAGGAAGCTTGAGGTAAGCCTGTCCAGGCTGCCAGCCCAGCTGAGTGGAGGGGTTTGCTCAGAGATGTGCTAGTGAAAATCCCCAGCAAGCTGCCCCGCAGAGAAGAGGGGGGTCTGAGCACAGAAAATACTCACGGTGCTGCCAAAAGCAGCAGATTCCCGGAGGCTCTGCGTCATGGTGTGCTGCACAAGACCCTGCACCCAATTCCCACCTTTGTGCTGTGATGGGAGCCGCCCCAGTTACCTTGAGCATCTGCCTCCCTGATCTGCTCCTTGACCATCCGGGCCATCTCAGGCCACACAATGTCCGTGAGACTCTTCAGCCGCTCCTAGAAAGGCCCACGACAGGATTTGGTTACTTGCCCTCAGAACCCCTGGGCAGCCAACAAGGGGATCGCTGGTGGCAGCAGCAGTCACAGAGGGCACCCAGAAAGAACCTGCTAAAGCACGGGGGGATGGACCCGGCCCATCGCCTGCTCGCTAAGCACAAGGAAGGAAAGCTTCCAACAAAGCCAGGTGCAGAGGGTCAGGTTCGGCTGCCACATCACCGAGCCCCACTGGGTACAAGCCCAAGCCACACAAGGGTCAGAGAGCGCCGGCTCCGTGTGTATCAGGGCCGTTGCTCCGCGCTGGGTGAAAGACAAGCGTGGGACAGAGGGGACAGGGATGGGGACGGGGAGGCGGCAGCAGCTGCTGGGGCGAGAGGAGCGTGTCCAGCATGGCTGCTGACTCGGCTACAGAGACAGGATCTCTGTGTCCTGCCCTGTCTGTACGTCACTGACAGGAAGTACAGTCAGCGTCACCGGCTCAAAGGGCTGAAAAATAAAAAGCCTCAGCACAGATGGAGAGCTCCCCACTCACGAGATTAAATATTGACAGTCTCTGTGCTGCTCTTACCTCGTTTCCAAACACTTTGGCCCCAAGGACTTTCCTGTTAATCATCCCATCTTCATTCAAGATTTCTGGAAGACAGAAACAGAACAGGCTTGGGGGGAATGAATCCAACTCACTTCCCTGCGGCAAGCCTAGGTCAGAGTGAAAGCATTTCAGCACGGGGCTCTCAAAGGGACCCAGAAAAGAGCTGTAGAACCTGACCTGGCAACTCTTCACCTTACTCCAGAAAAGGACAGGAAAGAGCTTTTTCTAGACAAACGGCAGCCCGGTTTAGCCTTCCCCACCAGCCAGTTTACAGTAGCTCTGACACAGGATGTGCAAGACTTGGGGAAAGCAGTGGTTTGCCCCGCTCAGACCCAACCATCACCGAATCAGCTACAGAGCCCCATCTGGGTGATGTGGAGCCCAAAACCCATGGGGAGGGAGGGGAGCGCAGGCCAGGACGGCTCCCGGGGACACTAGGATGATGGCACACCCCTCCCTCCTCTTCCTCCTCCCAGTCTTCCCCGCAGCCTTCAGTGGCTCTACCTGCCCCAAAGGCCGCCACCACCTGCTCGTAGGCAGGGCCACCGGGGACATAGACGGTGTGGCCCAGCTTGTCAGCGTCGATGAGGAACGCTCCCAGGTGCCCCAGGAGTTTGGCAATGGAGGTTTTCCCACTCCCGGTTCCTCCAGTGAGGCCGATCACGTACGGGCGCGAAGGCAAGGCAGGGTCTTGCTAAGGGAAGAAGGAAAGCCGTTGCCAGCAGATGCCAGCGCGAGCTCAGCTGGAGAAGGATCCTGACCACCCGGCCTGGAGACGGGCATGAAAGGTCCTGGCCCTGCCGAGCAGGGGCCTGCTCCTGCCGGGGACCAGTACAGGCAGCAGGCAGGCAGTCCTCCGAAACTTGTCCCCCTGCAGCAGCGGGATGAGCTGGCTCTTCAGCTCCCGAGGCTGCCACCCCTCCTCCCAGGCACTGTTCCCATCGCAGCCCCCAGCTCTCCAAGCGCCCCCCCCTCACCCGCGGGGG